GTGTGTGTGTGTGTGTGTGTGTGTGTGTGAGAGAGAGAGAGTCACCCATAAAGCACTGTAATCTTAAGACCCATCTGCACAGAAAGATGCTGAAGGGTAAAAATAACAGGCAAACCCCTGAGCTGAAGCACAGCCAGATGTGAAGTATTTCAACCCGGAGTTTAATCAGCAGAATGACAGGACGCTTTCACTCACGAGTCGGCGAGGACGCTGGAAGATGTGAGAGTCTAGAGCGCCAGATCGTGACCGCGACTGAGCAAAAGAGCTTCGGATGGACTCAGAAACGTACACAAATAAGAGGTCGGTGGTTAAAACGTTTACAGCTACACAACAGCATTGCCAGCTAATCAACCCGGTTATATGCAACCCTACACTAGGAAACAGTAAGGTGATGGAATGTGCCATTAGAATTGGAATTATCTTCACAAAACACTAGACGGTTCGGGGATCTGGATTTGTTACAAATATTTACGATCAGTACAAAACATAACACTTGTGCATGTTGGGATTGTTTGTTTGAGTATCAAAAGTACATTCTGGAGCATGCAGTAGCACCATGTTTCTTGAGGTCACTTCACATCTCAAGAGATCCTTTACTTTCTCCTCCTCCCGCAGTATTTTCCTTGGCAGCCGGCTCCACCTGCAGAACAACACCTCATCATACATGAAATACTATAAAATCTCTTCATTTGTGTGAATGAAGATAAATGAAGGTCAGCTGGGTTTGAAATGGCATGAGGGTGATGACAGTTTTCATTTTTGGGTGAGCTATCCCTTGAAACATGAAATGACAACACTGATAAAAATGAATGATGAAGTTCAAAAATTGTATCCATCAGAAATTCGCCTGATTTATAACAGAATGGAGTCTGCACTCAATGCGGAGAGATCCTCCACAGCATCTCGACTGCTTTATGACGTCCACCAGTGCGGCTCTGTTTTAGAAACTCACATATGCTCATGTAAATCCAAACTTCAGAAGAAGTAGGCCAGTGTTTGGTGTGATTTAGGATCAGGACGTTTAGTTGAGGACATCAGAAATGAGAGCAGTGATTATGAGAAATCAGTGATTATGTGGCGGCAGGATTAATCTCGTACCTCGATAACCTGCTCCCAGGAATCCTGTCAGTCCACCTCCATATTTGGCTGCTTTTGCTGAGGAAAGAAGTACACATGAAATACACATTAAACAAGAACATACAGTAAATATAAATGTCATGCTGGATGTGTTAATACTGGTAATCTTATAATCTTATTTATTCGCATGTACCATCAAAAAAGTTAGCAGTAACTGTACAGTTTCAGAACTGATTTACAGGTATTTCTGCTGTAGATGCCCCATATTTGAAATGAATGCGCAAAGCTATTGTATAAGCTCAGAGTGTATGGAATACAGTGTCTGAGCTGTATGGACCACCTTTATGATATTTTACTTTCAATTAGCAACTTGGAGATTCTTCATTAGTCTAAGTCATCTCTTTATTGAATATATATATATATATATATATATATATATATATATATATACTTCAGAGTTAAAGAGACTGAATGAGCTCAACAGCTAGAGCTCAGTCTCATTCTACTGCATCTTCCAGTGATGTTGTAAGGGTTTTAAGAGCGTTTACCTTGTTGTGGTGACAGTCCTGCTCCATATCCCCCTAAAACACAAGAAATCATTGCATTATTATGAGCTGTTCAAACCACATGAGTGACTGAGTGAAACGTGGCATTGTGTCTAATTAAGTAAAGCGAAGAATAACTGTGTGAAATAGATGCCAATATGAACTGTGAGTAAGCCAACAGACAGCGTCAGGATTACTGTTTGTTCCAGCAGGAGATTTATGACCAGCTGTGACCAAGAGCATCTGGACGGAGATAATAATAAACCCACCGAGCAGCTCTACGTTGTGATTATATAATGACTAACACATAATAGCGTGTGGTATGACAGCAGCTTGAGCGTGAGTATTAGCAAGCACCGAGACTCACATTATAGTCAGAATGCAAATACACTTTGCATGATATTTGCACTTCAAGCCAACGCTTTTCATAGCAAGCGGATTTCAGCAGTCAACGTGTCTCTCCATAGTGATAAGTGACGCTTTTCAGCGTATTGTCTGTCAGGATATGTTGTTTAGAGGGATCTTATGAGTTTTTTTTTCCCCTTCTGTTTGTGCATGAAAAAGATCTACACGTTTACAAAGCACAGTCACTCCATAGTCATTCTCTGCATATATTAGTAAGCACTGTTTCTGAACTCCCTCAAACATCTCGACTGTAGTCCTGAGTTTTCTCATCACAGTATCCCACCTTTAAATAAATCCCACCCAAGGCATATGCTAATAAACAAAAGTGAGCAAGGCCTGGTTGAGTTACGTTAGTAGTCGTAACATGTCGCCATTTCACAGATCTAATATACTGATACACATGAAGCTGTTTATGCTCACAGACATAACCGACTGTGCCATTTCACAGATCTAATATACTGATACACATGAAGCTGTTTATGTTCACAGACATAACCGACTGTGTTTCTGTCAGGACCACTATCGTCAATATAACTTACGATTAGCATGCATTTTAGGTTGGGGGCATGGTTCTGTTCTGAGCAAACACTCCCTGCCCATCCACGCAGCCTACCATGGATAGGAGCAGGGAGAGCAGAATACCCCCCTGGGGGCATGGTTCTGTTCTGAGCAAACACTCCCTGCCCATCCACGCAGCCTACCATGGATAGGAGCAGGGAGAGAGAATACCCCCCCTAGGGTAACAGAACAGAACCAACATCAATGATAAATGTAGCAGATACCATTAATGTTCTACGTGATCATTTTAACAACATGATTCAGTGTTCTGACTCAATGATATATTCACTGCCAAGTCCTGACTGGACGAGAGGAGGAGCTGGGGATGGAGGTGGGTGATTAGTTCCTGAGCGAAGCGATAGCTGCTGAATAATGACTGAAGGGAATTATGATTGATGTCGTGATCCTATAGGTAGACGTGGATCAGCTGAGTGTCAGGCGAGCTTGACTAACATGGCCTGCCAGAACTATCGCTACGCTCCATTTATGTGAAGTCTGTGTTTTTCACATAACCTTGCGTGTTTTTGACAGCTGATGCAAAAGAGATGGCTTTCTGTGCGCTCAAACAAACTGCATATCAGAAGTTTAAACTGACAACGCATGCAAGGAATAAACTTGAAGATAACAAAGAACTGCAATATGCATATATGATAATAAAAAAACAGATGTTTTGATTATCGCCACTAAGCCACAAGCTCCGCCCTCTTCTGGAAAGGGGGTTGGGGAGCAGCAGCTCATTTGCATTTAAAGACAAACATACAAAAACAGCATATTTGTGCTTCCACCCAAAAAATGAATAATAATTTTTCTGTGGTGTATTTTGAGCTGAAGCTTCACAGACACTTTCTGGGAACACTTGAGACATCTTATCAAACGTACAATGGCCCTCAAAATGGGAAATTAACTACAGAGGGGCTGAATTCTATAAGAAGATACAATATGAATTTAGCCTTGGATTATTTCTATAAAATGATACCTGGATATGCTTGTGGATATCCTCCATATCCTCCTGGAGCTACACCACCTGTAGGAAGAAAAGACACAAAGATTTAGATGTCTAACTCAGTTGATCTAAAACAGCATTTGTCAATAAACAGGTTTAGTATTCATTATAACTTGTAATCTAATTATAAAGGCTTTAGTATCTTGGCAAATTAAAGCACAGATTGAGATCACTCTGATCTCTTCTGAAATGCCAATGGACACAAATTTAAGAGTAATTTAGTCTTTTTCTCAGTAGAAACATCTTTTTTTGTGACTGTGTTGTGAATACAGCAAGTATTCTGGCAGATGGTTTTGGCTGGGTTTACTGTGTATCTGCATAAGCAGCGAAGCCAATTGAGGAAGATGTTCTGAAAGGACAGTACTTGAGAGAACACAGTGACATCAAATCATTGCTCACAGGACCAATACAAACCCATGATCTCGGGCTCACTGCATTTTGTGTGTGAGAGTGATTACACAAGTGTGTTACTGCTATGAGTGTGAATGTACATGTGTCGTGGGCAGGACAGAGTGGTTAGGCTGTCTGCTCGACTGGGGGATTCTGGTTTCGAGAGAGTACCAGTATGTCAAAACACAGAATGATCCAAAACAATCATTCCTGTTACTGTTAACAGAGTCACACATAATTGGCAGAGCTCAGCACCAGTAAAGGCCCACTTCGAGCACCACTTCTATAACACCTCTCCTCATTTTACAGTAAAATTTGTCTATTGCACAAACATATAGACATATATTCAAGAACATGTGTAGATGCCAATTAAGATCTGCATGAAGCAATCATTCTTTATAGAGTTAATGCTGGGCCTCACCTGGCTGTGCGTATCCTGTACCCAAAGAGCCGTAGCCTGTTGATAGAGTTAGATGTTAAACACTCAGCACAATCACAGCTCACACAATTTAGAGGAAGAAAACAAAAACCCACAATGAATATTTTGTACTTGTTAGATGCATTTCCCTATATCCTCTACAATTCCAGTTAATTGAAGCTTCAGTGTTAATCTATGGCCATGGGGAGTGCATTTGTTCTTGGGGAAAATCTTTAAAAAATGAATTTGGCAATGCTTTTGAAGCACAGTGTGGCGTCGTGTTGCAGAACATGAATATTGTGTATGCTTTCTTTTGCTACCTGGTTTAGGTGGTTTAGCACCAGCTCCAACACCACCAGCTCCCACACCAACACCTGATGGATACCCTCCACCTGCAACAAGATGATCTGTGTCTTTAACAATAGCCCAGTAACACAAGGAACACTATTTCAATAGTATGTTCAGTATTTTGACAGAAAATGGTTTGTGTCATGTTACAGAGTCAGGGCTGTCCTTGTAGAGGACATCACAACTCATGATCATGATCAACACTCTGCATTATAGGATCTGCACTCCCTGCTATCCTTTGGAGTATCTTAAAGGGAAGTCTAAATTACACTGGCTATCCTTTGGGACTGGGGTACTTCCGGGTTCGATGCTTGGCCCCCTCCTCTTCCCGATATACACAACGTGGAACATTGCAGGACTGATGTTGGCCACCCCAGTAGTGCAGTAAAATCACAACCTTCCTATCTGAACAAATGATGCCGAATATAGTTGTTACAGAGGAGGCTCCCGTACCGCCTCCTCCGCACCACCAGAGGGAACTGTCCCCGGAATATTAGCCTTGGACTTTTTCCTGATTCTCTGATTGTTATCTGCCTGCCCCGACTTGGATTGTTTCACCTGGACTCTGTTCGCTAGCCGCCTGCCCCGATCTCTCGCCTGGTTCATGATTCTGTCTCTGCCTTGTCTCTGCTGTTCTGCCTTGCCAGTATTTGACCCTGTATTGTCTGACTATTCTTAATAAAACTGCAGATGGATCCAAACCCTTCTGACGTGTCGCAACAGAAGACTTCGCCCGATCATACTATCATTCTCGGACTACCCCGGCTCTGCACCCACAATCCACTCATCTCTTGGAGGGAAGGACAAATTATTCAATGGGACGTCAAATGTCAAGATCATTGCCTGTCAAAAATTACCCGAGCCTCCAGTAATGCCTCTCTATCACCTGCTTCAGTCGCAAATAATCTTCATCTGCCCCCAGAATACTCAGACCTCGCCGACGCTTTCAGTCAAAAAAAAAGCGTCTCAGCTTCCCACTCACTGTTCTGTTGATTGCGCCATTGACTTAATGCCTGGCACCACTCCTTCTAAAGGCAGAATTTTCCCGTTATCGCAACCTGAATCCGAGGCCATGAAGCTTTACATTGACGAGGAACTATCTAAAGGATTCATTCGACCCTCAACTTCTCCTGCCTCAGCCGGGTTCTTCTTTGTAAAGAAAAAGGACGGAGGGTTGCGGCCATGCATTGATTACCGCGGCCTCAACGACATCACCATTAAGTTTCGCTACCCGTTGCCCCTAGTTCCAGCCGCATTAGAACAGCTTCGCCAGGCCAAATACTACACCAAACTAGATCTACGCAACGCTTACAACTTAATTCGCATCCGTGAAGGAGACGAATGGAAGACGCCGTTTTCCACCACTAGTGGGCACTATGAATACTTGGTTATGCCGTTCGGCCTGGCAAACAGTCCTTCAGTTTTCCAATCTTTCATGAATGACATCTTCCGGGACATGCTCGACCGATGGGTAATTGTCTACATCGACGATATCCTGATTTACTCAAACACTCTGGAGGAGCACATCCATCATGCTAGATCTGTGCTGAAATGCCTCATGAAGTATCAACTCTACGCCAAAGCTGAGAAATGCGAGTTTCACCAAACAAGCACCTCGTTCCTCGGGTATATTATCAGTCAGGAGGGGGTAGCCATGGACGAAAAGAAAGTCAAGGCAGTGTTGGAATGGCCCCAACCTCAGACAGTCAAAGAATTGCAACGTTTTCTGGGGTTTGCAAACTTCTACAGGCGATTCATCAGGAACTTCAGTTCGATCGCCTCCCCTCTGACTACCATGACTAAACGTCACACATCCAGACTGATTTGGTCCCCAGAGTCACGTCTGGCCTTCGACGAATTAAAAACTCGGTTCACCACTGCTCCTATTCTCCGACATCCAGACCCAGA